ATACTCCGTGCGGCACTGACGGTCTACTCACGATTCTTGCACGATCTTGTAGACTCAAGTAAGCCTTCCTCTACTTGGATCGCTAAGAGAACTTAGAAAGAGAAAACAAAGACAGAATTTGGAAGAAAAGACTTGTATTGATATGTTGGTTGATAGATGTATTACAAATACAAAGACTATCTATTTATACTACTCTAAACACTAAGAGTAAATAAATGCTACACTATCTACAAGCCCCTAAGTCCATGCCCACAATACATGCTTCTAAGTCTTCCAAAAAGGGACTCCTAGTTGCACCCTAGTCTGCCCCACGCCTAGAGGCCTTGAGCAAGCCTCTTCAAGGCTTGAAACTGCTGCCCCTTGACCTTCAGTAACAGCTGTAACGGCTGTAACTGCTGTAACAACTGAAACGGCTGAAACTGCCGAAACGGTTGTAACGGTTGCCCCTCCAACTGCTGCCTGCTCGGGCGCCTGCACCTTGGTCTGCTGACCGGTGTGGGCTGCCTGCCCCCTTGCGCCTGCTGCTGGCTGCCTAGGCAGGTCGCGAGCTGCCTAGGTATCTGGCGGGTCGTGACATATAGCTAGTCTTTCAATCTTAATTTGATTATCCCCTTTAGAAGAAAAAGGCAAGACATAAATTTTCGAAGAAAACAGCCTATATATTAGTTATTGAAGTTGTTTGATTACGTATAGGGTCAGTTTGATCACGTGAGATGAAACTATAATTTAAAATTGTGACATTAAAATTATATGAGATGAAATTAAAGTGTTAATTTATGATATTAATGGAATCATATATTTATATAGGAATTTTCTGAAAATATAATATGTTATTATCTTATTGAAATTGGTGATTTTTGGAGATATTTTTAAATTAATCAAGTATTAATTTAGTGATTTTATTTTATGTAAGTCAGTTAATCCTAATTGTAATGGATTGTCTATGAATTTTGGTCATAAATTTATCACCAAGTCCTATTTAAAAATGAATAGTATAATTTATAATATAAATTCTCAACAGCTCCCTCTAGACCTCCTTGTGAGTCCTCTTCATTAATTGTCGCCATCAACATGTTTATGTTTGATTATTTCATGTGTTTACCTTAAATATACATAAGAACAGACACTTCCTTTTCTTTAAAAAAAAATTTAAATAATAGTAACCTTAGGGGTAAGTAGTTCAGCTAATTAATTATGTTGCTATCGAATCTATATATAGGTGGACGTGGAACCGGTACCGGACCGGACCGGAACCCGTTGACCGGTACCGGGATGAATCGGATCGGAATTACCGAGATGATTCATCGGTTTCGTCCCGTTCCAGTATATACCGGGATGGAACCGGAATGAACCGAAACGGACCGGGATGGAATGAGACGGAATTAACGGGACGATATTTTTTGGAATTACGAAAATATAATTATTTTTTATTTTTAAGTATAAATTAATAGTTTTTAAATTTATACTATAATTTTTACTTAAGTTTATTTTAAAGATATTTTATTAATTTTTTTGTTGTTGTTGAGTTTGCAAGTAAAGTCTAATAAAGTTTTCAAAATTTAAATCTTTTGAAGTTTATACTTTACAAGTTATTACTTATATTCATTCATATTTATTTTATAAGTTATATTTATAACTTGTATCTTGTAAATATTAAATAAATAAAATTGTAATTTTAAAAAAATTAAATTAAATATAAATTATATAAAATATAAAATATAAAAAAATTAATATATATTAAATAAACCGGACCGAACCGGAACGGAACCGGAATGAACCGGGATGAACCAGTACCGGTACACTGGTACGAAATCACGGTTCCGTCCCGTTGCGTGTACCGGTTCAGACTATCCCGTCCCGTAGACAATCGAAACGGAACGAACCGGAACGAACCTGAACGGTACCGGAACAGTACCGGTACGTCCCGTTCCGTTGACCAATCTTATGTGCAAGTAGTAAAATGAACGAAAATTAAATATCGAATTTATAAAATTTTCTGATGAATATAGTTAATTATCAGAGGTAACTTTCTTTTTAAGCTTCATATTAAAAAATTGATGATAAACATAATTAGTTATCGCGCTCACGATTAATTTAGAAGTGATATAGGTCGCTTGGTAAATTTCTCGTCATCCATTTGATGTAAAATTGTTTATATATATATTGTAATTTCTTCAAAATTGAATATATTACATGTTCCGTGAATAAATCTCCTGATGGATCTTTTGGCTTAGTAGCTAGCTTGATTCGATTTGCGCTAATAACAATGATTTTTATTTTCTATCAGTTCTTTATACATGATTTTTTTTGAAGTTAATAAATGTATGTACACCCAACTGATAAAGATGGAATCGCCTCAGATAATCGCAAGCCAAAAATTCTACGTCCGTCACTGCGCGTAACACTAATATTTGCTCCAAACAATTTTTACTATTTCCTAACATTTAGCCTTTGAGTGTTAGAATTTTTTTTTTTGTTCCAATTTCATTCTCAAACTATTTTCTTCCTCAAAAAGTGAAATTTTCGTGCTCAAAGTACCTATATGCATAATTCAAACTTCAATAAGTACCAATACTTAGTAATTATCATGTCATCCTCAGTTTTTAGAGGTCATATATAAAGTTATTATCATGTCATCCTCAATTTTTAGAGGTCATATATAAAGTTAATTTATAACAAGAGTCACTCTTATCATCTTAAGCTTATCACGAGGAAAGGTTCACCATAAAAGGGTTTTTTTTTGTTAAAAAGATATCAATATTTTAATTTGTCTAAAAAAAATAAAAATTTTAGCCGATATTTAGTTTCTCTATAAGAAATTCTATTAAATTAAGATCCAATATTTAACTTTTCTATTTTAAAGTTTTTTAAGGAATTAGAGACCCTCGCTCACGCCTTAGTCTTATTCGAAAACAAAAGCGGATGGACCTTCCTCAAGAAAAAAGCCAATCTGATTTCAGGGGGCATGTAGGCGGAGAAATATATATATATGAATTAAACAATTGAGACATAGTTAAACAAATATAAATTCTTTTATCAAAATATTTTTTATCTCGAAAATATTAATTTTATATTTACAAAATTTTGTATTATTTCTCAAAAGCAGTTTTCCTTTTTTTGACACGTCAATATTTTTACAAAAGAGAATACATTATTTTTTAAAAATTTAAAAAACTGATTTTAATATTGGTGGTAGACCACTCCGATCGAACTAAAGAAGAAGATAAGCCAATACAATACTTCCTTTCATTTTATTTAATTTGAATTTGGTGTTATAAAACTAATTTATCTTTTTTATTTGTTCGTTTTAGAAAATTAAAAAGAATTACTATTCCCATACTATTGTTAATATTAAATAATTATAAAAAATAATGTTAGTTAAATTAAGAACTCCAATATATTCTTAAAAAAAATATTTTAATAAAATATACCTTTTTTTTAAAAAAAAAGGTATTGTCCTTAGTTAATATGGATGGGGTAAAATAAAACAGATAGCGTTACATTAAATGCTATCAATCACTCACAACTAATCCAATTTAATGTAAAACCCACTCTCAGTTTATTTTCACTTATTTAGTTATTTAATATTTACTTGGCACGTCACTAAAATGATAATTTTATTATATTATCTTTTCATTTTAATGAATGCATGAAAAAATAATTATAAGTAAAAATATAAGTAATTAATAAAAACTAAAGAACAAATCATCTGTTAGTTAACGTTTGAAGCTGGACAAATAAAAATGATCAAACATTTTTTAATACAGTGAATAAATAAAAATTGCCAACTAGTAGGTTAGTTTTTCAACAAGTTTTAGAACATCTTCACCAACCAGCCTCTTATAAAAGTTAAAAAAATCTCTTCATATTTATGAGGCAATCGCTCACCCAAAAATATTACACATTTATGAATTTCTTTCGAACTTAGGGGAGATAATCTTAAATTAAGAATCTATCAAAAATAATTTTTATTTTTTTAAAATAAAAATAAGATTTATATACACGTCTATCTCAGATACTGGCATGTTATTGCTGATCATTTATGTACACAACGACATAAGTTGGTATAAGGTGTTATTATTTTCAATCAAAAGCATATGTGGTATTAAGAAAATAATTTAATTTGATAGAGGGGAAAAAATGTTTCTCCCTAAATAATTGGATATCTTTAAAACATCCATAAATGCAAAGTTGAATATAAGTGGCAACTGGCAAAAAAAGTGAAGATAATGTCTAGTAATAAATCATTGAATGGTTATGCTAAGTAATAATGTCTCATTTTTTTTTATTCTATTAATAAGGTCACTGCTTAAATTAAGCATTGGTGCTAGGGTGTCAAAAATAGCTCAACTATAGATTTTGCTAAAGATAATTTAAATTGAGTTTAATCTCAATTTATTCACTGATGTTAGGAGAATAGTAGAGCTAATTTTTTTTATTAAAGGTGTTTAAAAATAATGGCGTGTGACCGTCTAAATAAAATAAAAAAACAAAATATTATGCTATTTGGGTTTGAACTTTGGAATTTCTTAATTCAAATGGACACTCATTATCATCATACCAAAGCATAACTTTTGTCAGCGGTGTCCAACTTTAAATATATATCCTCTAAATGTATAATTTAACATATATATACAACGTAATTTTCCAACAAAGAGTGTCTGATTGGACATCCTGGGTGGCTACGCCACCGTGCTAGTGGTGTTAATGATTTGTGAAATGTATTAAATATTGAATACAATATTTAATAAAATAGATATAAAAGGGTAAACTACATCTTGAACTTTTAAACTAGACAATTACCCTTTGATAATTTTTTTAATATAATGAACAAAAACAAAAATAGACGGATAAAGTAATTAACCGTCCGAATCAGAAGTCTCTAGTATGCCCATTTATTCCTACTTCCTAACCAGCATCGTCTTTAATACATGCGATAAGTTGTATGGTCCACATCGACTATTTTTTGTTAAAGGTGCTCCATTTTCATGTATAGGCTGACATTATCATTTTTATATATGTATATCAGTATATATTTATGTATATACCAATACAAAAAAAAAAGTATGATCCTTTAGTTTCACATACAAAAGCTAATTTAGCCATTTCAATTTTCTATAGACCAACAAATCAATGGGGAGCCTTGGTCTTAAACCTATAAACACTAATGGCCAGAAAAATAGCACGGTGGTCGTAATAGAGCCAGAACAAGAACAAGAACAAGAACAAGAACCAGCAAGTCCAGCTACGCGATTGTTCCATACAAAAAACCTAAATTGTCACATTATTGCTATCTTAGGTTGCACTACAAAGATCAACCCCGATGTCATCAAGAAAGGACTCGAATCTACTCTACTCAATCACCCTCGCTTCTCTAGTATACCGGTACGTAGACAAGTTAGTTTATTCAGTTTAACTTTTATATATTGACATGCACGTCCAAAAAACAAAGAATTCAACAAGTTATATATAGGGATAAAAAAAAAAGGTTTACCTATATATATGCAATATGTTTGATTTCCACTTGACCATATATAACATGTATGGAGCGAGCATGAAAAGTACTAGTTCGTCAAAACACAGTAACTTTTATATAGTTGTTGAGAAGAAATCCACTATACATCTATGTATATTATATATAATATAAGCATCAGAACTAACTAACTTTAAATTTTAGATTTGCTTCTGGACTCTGGTCAGAAGAAATTGTTATTATTGTTATATATAAAAGTTTATTCATACTTCCTTTGCTTGTATATATTACCATTTTGCTTTGTTTGAAAAAAAAGGTGGTGGATGAAAAGAAAGGTGTAAGAAATTGGAAGAAAACAAAGGTAAATGTGGAAGAACATATAGTATGTCCGGATTTGGATCCGGACATGGATTCTCCAGACGAATATCTGGAGAATTATACGTCGAATTTAACAACAATACCTTTAGACATGACAAAGCCACTTTGGGAAGTTCACATATTAAACATCAAAACTTCTGAGGCAAATGCTATTGGGATTTTGAAATTGCACCATTCAATTGGTGATGGAATGTCAATTGTATCTTTGATTTTGGCGTGTACTCGAAAAGCTTCGGATCCAGAAGCATTGCCTACTTTACCTTCAAGTACAAAGAAGGAGAAAAATGATGTTGGATTGTTAAGGAGGTTTTGTTACTATGTTTGGTTTTTGTGTATGGTGTTTTGGTATACTATTGTGGATGTTGTTTTGTTTTTGGCAACTATTTTGTTTCTTAAGGATACTGAGACACCAATGAAAGGAGGAGTTGGCGTTGAGCATAGTCCTAAGAGACTTGTGCACACAACTGCTAGTCTTGATGACATGAAAATAGTCAAGAATGCCTTGAACTTGGTACGTGCACTTCTGCTTCATTTTACGTGACACTGTTATATTCACCTACTTAACATTTATTTTTTTGACAAAAATTATAGTTTCCATTGCTTTTGTATAGGCTTAGTTTGGATTTGGATATGGATTTTTCCTTTTAACAACATATTATAATGTTTTTTTGCAACTTATTTATTGCTTAAATTATGTTATAGACAATTAATGATGTAGTGATGGGCATGGCACAAGCTGGTTTCTCAAGATATCTCAATAGAAGATATGGTCAGTCTGTTTTTCCATTACTACATAATTAATTACACCTTATTCTTCTCTGTCTAAGCTATTGGTCAAACTATAACTGTACCTATTCTACCTCTATATATTTACATTTATGTGATCATGCTTATTTTTAATTATTATCGTATTGTTTTACATCTATTTTTAGTAAGCACGATGACTAAAATGGGCCAGAGAGGTCCTCTCTTTCTTACTTTAGTACTCCCTCTTCATATGTTTAATTACCCAAAATTATGCATTAACTACAATTTTAATTAGACTAATTACTTGTTCAATTTGTATTTTTAGATTTTTACTACGAATAAAAAATTTGGTGTGTGTTCAGGTAACAAGAATGGAGGAAAAGGAAGCAACAAGACAAATAATTTGCCTAAGAACATTCGTCTAAGAGGATCTATTGTTTTTAACATCAGACCTTCTACTGGAATTAAAGTAACAACAATCCCTTTATATTAATATATACTATCTCTGTTTTAATTAACGTTTCTTATTTTCTTTTAGTTTTTCTGACATCTAGTAAGTTTTTAATTGCAATATTGTTAAAGAATGACAAAAGTCTCACATCGGTGATTAATGAGATGAGTGGACTCTTTATAAGGCTTGGACAATCCTTCTCCCTTTGAGCTAGCTTTTGGAGTGTGAGTTAGGCCTAAGACCTAATTTCACATGATATCAGAGCAGAGCCGGCGTAAGGTGGGGTGTTAAAAAATGACAAAAGTCTCACATCGATGATTAATGAGATGGGTGGACTCTTTATAAGGCTTAGACAATCCTCCTCCCTTAGCTTTTGGGGTGTGAGTTAGGCGTAAGACCTAATTTCACAAATATTCTCATTATTGTACAAATCTTTAATATCGATGCGGTAATCGTGTCAGAATTTTGAAAGTGTTGTGTCATATTTCTATCAATATTTTTGGATAGTATAAGCGATATATGGAGATCTCATGACATATTTATCTTATATCACATGATTTAAGGATGTTTTGAGTACGTATAATATACACATTTTTAATTAAGTTGATATTTTATTAAAAATGTATTTTTAATGTATGCAGGCTCTAGCAGAGATGATGGAGAAAAAATCAAAGGCAAGATGGGGCAATAAAATAGGATACGTGTTGACCCGATTACCCATAAGTTTACCCGATGACCCGTTGGATTATATCCGACAAGCCAAAAATATTATCGATAGAAAAAAACTCTCTCTTGAATCGAGATTCTCTTTTACCGCTGCTAAGTTAACCCAAGATATATTCGGATCCAAGGTAAATGTTTTTTTAAATTTATCTACTAGAGTTTATGACATTATGTACATAAAACTTATGATACTAAATGTGTTAAAATATTTATACGATTAAATAAAATATCATTAATAGTATTTTAACAAGTTATATTCTTCACAAATTTATAGAGAAATTATTCGGTTAAATTGACGTGGGATGCTTCTACAAGGGAGTTTTGCTTCAAAGGCTATGAATCAGGACGAGCGAGTCGATTTGTGAGGATATACGTGTTCGTTTTAAAAAACATAATAGAAATGAATAATATAGACTAAAACATAGAGATTTATCCTGAAATATCATATCTTCATCGTAGTCGAATTTAATATTTTTTTTTATTGTAACTTCCAAATAAAATCTTATTATTGTTATTATGAAAGGTGGCATCAAAGGTGACAAGGAGAGTTCTATCGAGCACGACGGTTTTAATATCAAACGTGGTTGGGCCTCAAGAAGAGATCACATTTTATGGCCATAAATTAGCTTATGTTGCTCCTACAACTTTTGGACTCCCATATGTTAGTATATATAGAGTCATCATTAACTTTCATAAATTTAGTTTTTCAAACTTTTGAAATCATATTTGAAGAGTTGATCTAATGAGTTAGTTTGATCAAGCTTTAATCAACAAAATAATATTTTTTGAGTCTTCAATTTGTGTGATATTATTTATGAATTTGGTGTGGTTGCAGGCTGTGACAATACATTTCCAGAGTTACTGTAACAAAATGACAATATCAATGGCAGTAGACTCACAAGTGATTCAAGATCCATATCAGTTATGTGATGACCTACGGGACTCACTTCGAATGTTTAAAGAGGCTGTCACTAAACAAGACATGGTATAAACCTAGTCTTTGGGGACGAGATGAAGTAGATAAAGATATTTTCCGAATTGAAATATTTCATGCAATTATATTTCATTTTATTTTTATGATAGAAGTTAAATCAATTCTAAATTTTATGTCAAGATATTTCATGGATTCATTTTCAACTTCACACAATGGGCACTTGAAATCATCAATGGCTTTCCATTTTGACGGTCTATAATATTGTTTCATGGGTAACCTATTGTTATGGACAGGAAGAACATAAAGCGTCGTTCGTGTTTTTGAGTTATATCGCAAAATATCAATTTTATTCTTAACAAAAATGTTGTATAATTTACATGTAGGTTAGGCTTGATGGTAATTTTATGAGTTCGGAGCTTAAAGAGTACAAAATATTAACAAAAATTTCAAAAAGGTATATAAAATTTTATATAACCAAAACGGTAAAATCGCTGGAACAACAGCGATTTACTCCACCGGAAAAAGTAAAATTGCTACCACTGCAGTGATTTTGCAAAATGTGATTTTTTTTTAAAAAAAAATTGAAATCGCTTTCTAGGCAGCGATTTTCAATTTTTTGTAAAAAAAATATCATTATTTAAATTAATCTTATTATTAGATTTATCCGGAAATATTGATCCACCACATAACCATAATAAATATAATCTAAATCTTTGTTGCACTTCATGCTCAGTTGAAGCTAGGTCTCTCTTCTTTTATGCTACCATTTCAAATTCCTTCGGAACGATGATGAACTTGAATTTTTAATACATCATGCTCTACTGGACCAGGATGTACGTATACATTTGACGGATGCATATTTATACATAAAAAAATAAAAAGAAATATTAACATTAATATAAATTTCAAAAGATTGAATATAACAATAATATCATATAAAATTATTAATTAATTAAATAAATTAAAAATAAAATAAATTCAAACTCACCTCATAAATCAAATGCTTTTAGAAACTTTAGAAAACTAAAAAAATAGAAAGGCTTTAAAGAATGTTGGAAAATTGAAAAATTACAAGACAATTTGAATGAGCAATTCAATCAATTTATAACAAAGTAAACATTTTGAGTTGACACTATTTGCACGTGAATTCTATTCAATCAATTTATAATAAAACAAAAACTACACTATTTGCATGTGAGTTACAATTTAATCAATTCATAACAAAATAAAAATTACACTATTTACATGTGAATTACAATTCAGTCAATTTGTAACAAAATAAATTACACTATTTACATGTGAAATACAATTCAATCAATTTATAACAAAATAAAAATTTAATATGTGCCTTTGATACTATTTGCATGTGAATTGACACATTTTTTTTTTATAAATGCATGTGATTTTTCTTAAAAAGTTTATTATTTTGTAAGAATTTGACATGTCATATTTTTTTTAAATTTACATGTGATTATCTTCAAAAATTAATATATATATATATATATATATATATATCAAGAAAAATCGCTGCATAGGCAGCGATTTTTTTTTAAAAAAAAAAATTCAAGAAAATGCTGCCTAGGTAGCCGATTTTTTTTAAAAAGTAATTATTTGAACTCAAACATCATTTAAATTTAAATTCAATATAATATCTTTTTTAGAAAGAAAACTTTTTTGTTACGTTACTTATTCTTAGTTTTTTTAAAATAATGCATATTTTCTTATAAGCTATATATTTGAATTTCAAAAAAATATTATAATTTTTTTTAATAAAATCACTGCTTTAATTTTTTTTAAAAAAAATAAAATTGAAAATCGCTGCCTAGGCAGCGATTTTCATATTTTAAAAAAAAATTATAAAATCGCTACCTAGCCAGCGATTTCCTTATTTTTTTAATTTTTTTTATAATATCGTTGCCTAAGTCGCTGCCTAGGTAGGATTTCAATTTTTTTAAAAAAAGAAAATCGCATTTTGCAAAATGGCTGCAGTGGCAGCGATTTTGCTTTTTCCGGTGAAGTAAATCGCTGTTGTTTCAGTGATTTTGCCGTTTTGGTTAATATAAAATTTTATATGTCGTTTTAAAATTTTTGTTAATATTTTCTACCCTTTAGGCTCCGGAGATGCTCCATACATGTTTCTCTTGTATACCAATAATATATTAGTAGGTTAACACACTTCTCTGTCTAACAATCTATGATGCTATATCAATTGTGTTTTAATTACCACATTACTTTATTATTGATATGGTATGTTATGTGATGCTTCTTCTAGTACTAATTCCAACTCTCTTCTTCTAAATATTCTTCGATATATGTTATCTAAGCCAGAGATATAGTTCACGTATACTTTACACTTTCAAATTTTCTCGTATTTAATATATTAAATATATTATTATTATCACATTATATACTAATATGTAATGCATCAAGGTAAATACGGAACGATAAAATAAACTAGACATTATATTATGTTTACTTAGTAATTTTTGCAAAAATAATTTTCATATTACTCATCATATTCTTACATAACGTATCTTTAAATCAAGCAACCTAAGTGATTTGCTTTCATTTTTCATTTAAATATTTGGGAGAATGCTTTTAGCGTTTAATTCAAACTAATTGATTCGATAATTTGTGTAGAAACACACTTTGTATTTCAAGATCAAACACTTGAACTATAAATTAAAGGTGAACAAGCCAAATTGTTAAGTTAAATAGAAGTGCGAAGAATCAAGTTAGATCATTGGGGGAAAAGAATAAGGTTTGTTATTTGGTTAATTTTGTGTCTGGGGAAAAAAATTAATCACTTTTGATTTAATTATTAAACTTTAGATATATTATTTCAAATCGGACTTATAAATATATTGTCTTGTATTCAAATATTTCAATTATCTTATTATAGATTTTAGACTGAAAGTTAACAACATACTTCGAAAGTATTTTCTTTTTGAAGATTTCTATTCCATTAACATTTTTGAGTTCTAGCCTTCGTACATGTATATGAAAATATATTTGATCTCTCTTTTTAATTACAGTGTAATAATATAAAGAAAAAATCAAAAGAAAAATCTAAATCAAAATAAAAAAAACTGACTTTATATTAGTTTGATTTTCATAGTTGATTTTATTATTTTAATTTTTAAAATAAAATCAATCCGATTCTTAATAATTGAATTTAGTTTAGGGTATATAAATAAAATGGATTAATAATTGAAATTTTAATAATTCTAAATTTATAGAATTGTTTTTGCATAATTATAAAATAGGGTCTTCTGGAATTCTCCTCAGTCTCTTACATTTGAACACAAGAAGTCTCTACACTTGGGTTTCATTCTGTTCTCTTCATATACTTCAATCCATCAAAACCCTAATCCTCATTTTCTTGATCAATCCAATGGCGATTATTTCTGATTTCGAGGAGCAAGATAGCAAACCATCGGCGGCGGCGGCGGCGTCAAAGCCCTTTAAGGCCGTGCTTGATCCTGCTGATCCTCTAGGGTTTCTTCAAGCCGCGTTCGAGTTCGTCGGACGGGAATCTGATCTTTTCAAGAGTGATTCATTGATTAATGATGTCAATGCTGTTGTTCGTATGGTGAAAGACAAGCTGTTGACTGAGGAGCGCAAGAGGAAAGTGGAAGCAGAAGCATCAAGCTCAAAGGCGGCGGGAAAGAAGGTCAAGGAGGATGTTCCAGTTGCTGCTGCAAAGAAGGAAGAGGTTAAAGAGGCAAAAGGGAAAGAAGTTATGAAGGAGGCTAAGGAGGTGGACAAGAATGGTACTCAAGGTAACGGTTTTTGTGAATCGGATGAATTTTCCTTAGTTATTTAGGAATTGATTGTTTTTATCCTGCTACATTGGCCATTGGCGAAGTCTGTTCAAGTAAAGTTTTGGTCTTTGAGTTGAATGTTCTGTATAATTGAATACCACTAAATCTATTGTTCCTGATACATAGTACTTCAGTCTTTTACTATAGTCAACTGAAATAGATGATGGCTTCGTATAAGTTTTACAGCCTTAAACTAAGTTATACTTGGTGCTTTTATGGACTTGAAACCAAAAACATACTTTCTCTGTCCTGTTTATACAATGGTACTTTCTAGTTTCTACATATGACATTAAAGATGTTAACTTGTGTGTTGATGAGAACAATTTGACATATATTTTATTATCCATGATGATCAAACTTTATTGTTTGAGTAGTTTTTGGTGATTTTGAGTTGTTGAAGAAATAGAAGAGTATCAACTTTTGGGTGATATTCTGAAATTGGAGGATAGTCATAATAGTTGGACGGATAAGGTACTACTAGGTGGTAACATTGAATTACATTTGAGTTTAGTCTATGATTAGTTACCAAAAAGGGATTGCTACTCTTCTATTTCTTGAATTTTTCATGACTGCCAAGAAATCAAAACTTTCAAGAGTATCGACATTTTGGGGATATTCCTAAGTGGGAAGAGTGTCATATAAGTTGATTGTAATGATATTACACTACTAGGTATTAGTTTGAATTATGTTTGAGTTTTATGTATGATTAGTTACTAGAAATGGATTCCTACCAATTAGGCTAGAAAGAGGACAGTAAGCAGTGTGTAAAGGGTCTGACTTGAATGGTGAGGTCTTCTATAAGACCTAAGTCTTTTAATCAACAAGTACGAATTCTTAATTTTATTAGAAGTTGTCATATTAAATTGTTTATCAAAATGATGTATGAACTTCTAGTTAGATAGCCGTTTTAAATTTGAACTTAACAACTGTTGTTCATTACGAGTGTTGTGGATTATGAGATTATGTAGTCAATACTAATTTCAGTTTGCATTGAAACGTTTGTTTATTCAAAATTTGTTATACATTATATGTGGTAGATTAACTCATTAAATGTGTCTTTATTCTCAAATTAATTGACAAATAGCCCCTTGCAACAAGGGTTTCTCTGTGTGTCCTGGGTTTTGCAAAATGATCAAGGACTTGGCTTGGATTTAGCTTGCTACTGTTCAAAGTTTGGTTGAAATAAGCTTCGTATTGGGTGCCTTATGTTGTCTCCTTTTACTTATTATCCTGTTTGGTTTTTATATGGTATCAGAAGACACTGACAACTTTCAGTCTAGACGTGTATACCTTTTGATAGGTTACTGATAAATTGCGACAACCCTTT